TTCCTCGACGGCAACCACACAGACATTCATTTCCTCGACGGCGATCACGTAGATATTCATTTCCTCGACGGCGAAGACCTAGACACTTAGTTCCTCGACTATGAACACGTAGACATTCACTTTCTCAACGGCAAAAACCTAGACGTCACCTAGACATTTAATTCCTCGACAGCGATCACGTAGACATTTGTTTCCTCGACGGCGACCACATAGATATTCACTTCCTCGACGGTAAAGACCTGGATGACATCTAAACATTTAGTTCCTCGATGGCGAAGACCTAGACAACACCAAACACTTAGTTCCTTGACGGCGAATACTTAGATACTCATTTCATCGACGGCGACCACGTAGACATTCACTTCCTCAACGGCGAAGACCTGGACGACACCTAAATACTTAGTTCTTCTATGGCAAAGACTTAGACAATACCAAACACTTAGTTCTTTGACGGCGAACAGTTTGACACTCACAAGGGAACCTCGCGAAGTGTCAAATTCTGATCTTAACGAAACTTTTTATACATGTAGGTTACCTAAATAGATGAATTTAGAAATTAGCAGTTGCGACCCAAAAACGGGAGTTTAAAGGGATGAAACCATCCCTTATATATAAATAAATTTTTCTTTTTTTCGTTATATCTTGAAAACTATTCAAGATATCAAAAAATGTTTTATACAAAAGTTTTACAGTAAAATTTCCTCTATTCATTAACGTTAATAGAACCTTACTTAAGTCATAAGTATATTACTTATATGAATGATTTGATATCAATAAAAGGCGCCAAGTTATAATCCCATAAAAATTACGTTTCCATACTTAGGTCATAAGTGTATTACTTATCCCATAAAAATTACGTTTCCTTACTTAAGTCGTAAGTGTATTACTTATATAAAAGATTTGTTATCAATAAAAGGCGCCAAGTTATAATCCCAAAAAATTACGTTTCTTTACCTAAGTCATAAGTATATTACTTATATGAATGATTTGATATCAATAAAAGGCGCCAAGTTATAATCCCATAAAAATTACATTTTCTTACTTAGGTCATAAGTGTATTACTTATATGAAAGATTTGAAATAATAAATGGCGCCAAGTTATAATTCCATAAAAATTACGTTTTCTTACTTCAGTCATAAGTACAAATTATAATCTCATAATTATATATTTTATAAGAAAGTATGAAATCCTTATATTGTGCTAACAGAGAGAATATGAAAAAAATATCATATAAGTCTTAGGTGTCTACATTACCTACAAAATAAACTGTTGTACTACTTTTAAAAAATATAACCTTAGGTAAGATAGTATTTTTAAATATAAAAAAAGTTAAACCTAAGTAATACGTATTTTTTAATTCATTCAAAACTTTTTCTATTGCAATTTTATTACAAAATTGCGTTACACAATCTAAGTATCATCACTAAGAAGTAAAGAGGTAACAGTACAAAATTAAAAAAATCTATTTTTATAATTTTTTTCATGTTAAAACACTTGGCGCTGTTGGACCGAATAAGGAAATTAATAAAAAAAATTAAAAATAATAATAAAAATTGATCAAAATTGTACACATTAAATGAAAATGTAACAATTATCATTATCATTATATGTAACAATTATATTATCTTATTATGTTAATTTATCATTATATTAAATGATATACAGTTATTAGTTAATAAATTTAAAAATATAATGTTGTAAAAACGTTGTCATATATATTAATTTATCATTATATTAAATAATATAAAATTATAAGTTAATAAACTTAAAAATATAACGTTGCAAAAACGTCATCATATATTAAAACCCAAAATATTACGGAAAGATCCACGAAAACAATATAAAAACAATCAGCGTAATATGTGTGTATGTTTGTAAATGATCAATGATCATATAATAATAAATAGTAACATTTATTTTCATTTAATGTATACAATTTTAAATGTTTTTTTATTCGGTCCAGCAGCGCCAAGTGTTTTAACATGAAAAAAATTATAAAAATAGATTTTTTTAATTTTGTACTGTTACCTCTTTATTTCTTAGTGATGACACTTAGATTGTGTAACGCAATTATGTAATAAAACTGAGTCGACAAGGCACACAGGGGATA